GCGCTCCCGCCCCCGGCAGCCACCCGGCAGGCACAGTCCCCCGCACCTCACCTGCGCCCTCCGGGTCCTCCTGCCCCCGCGTCTGAGACCCGCACCCTAGGAGCTACAGGCTGCACCCCCTGCCTAGCTTCAGGGCTTTTGACGGTACCAATTATTTCCTCAAAAGGCCGCCAGCCCTCATTTGAAGGAACAGGAACGACAGCCCCAGCAGGGACAGTCACAGATGTCAAGGCTCCAGCTCGAAGAAAAACCCGGCAGGCAGAAAGTGTCAGGGAGCTGCACGAGCATCGCTCACCATGCGCGCAAAGCCGTGGCGAGGACGCGAACGCGGGCATGCTCCCAAAGTTGGGTACAGCCGTGGCTGAAGCTGGACGAGGTCTGAGCTGGTGAGTCAGGAAAGGGCTCCAGCTTCAGCTGTACTTGCCTGAGCTGCCAGTTGTTTGACAAGCCACAAATTATTTGTATATTCATTACAAACAGGTTGCTTTCATTTTTAAATTGTTTCCTAGCAGCAAACACTACAGTTTTTAACAACAAAAAAAGATGCCTAACTGCACGTTACATTTTCATGGTAGTCCCTGTGGCAGAGATATTTCAACCCTTAAAAATAAGCAACCAAATTAAAAATTTATTATAAATGTTTCCTCACTGTAAATAATACCGAGTTACAGAATTCGTGTAAGAGAGTACCATATTCTGCACCATTAGCTAATTAAAAGTTGCACTGCAGGCAGGCAAAACAAAGCAGAGGCTGCACGATCCTAATCTAGTGACCATTTTACACAGGACCAACATCCCATTTCATCCTCATAAGCCTGCAGATGAAATGTGCTTTGGCTCAGAAAGACTGTTTAAAAAAAAAAAAAAAGCTAGTCCTTTCTTATATTGCCTGAATAACTCAGCATCTCTCAAACTATTGATCAGCTCCATTTCCCCTCCCTGCTCTATTGTCAGAAATAGCTTATGGCCTCTCATGAATATCACGTATAAATCTACAAGTTTTCCTCTAACCTCGGTCTCAATTTGATGCTCAATTTTGTTTTATATCCAGACACACCTCATGGGTTTTTGTTCATTCCCACTTTTCCATTTCTTACTGCCTAGACCACACTGCTTTAGCTGATTAGTTTCGTTTGGCATAAATTCAAGCATTCACCCCGCGTGCCGCCCCACTGCAAGCTACAGACCACTACCTGCATAACACAGGGCTCTGGGGACCAGCAGTATGTATGTATTTAGAGGGAAGAACTCCTCCAATGGTGCATAGGTAATACAGAGTTCGGAGAGGTCTGTGTGTCTACACAGACCTTTGGGGCAGAAAGAGGACAACAAGGTGGCCGTTACAGAGAGCAGCCAGAGCTTCTGACTCCATCAATCTTCCCTCGCCCAGAATCAGCTGTTGCAGTAAGGAGGCATGAGGGACTCCACCAGTGGGAGCAATGTGGGCTTCAGACATTTAGGAAGGAAATTATAGGGAAAAGGGGGTTGCAAAGGGAAAGGCTCTCCAGTGGAGCTATTACTTGGGGAGAGCCTTTCGCCTGGTCCCTCAGAGTGAGGAGGGGATTGCTCATGGTCCCACCATGCTCCCACCCAGGCTCAGCGGGAGTCTGGATGGGGCAGCACTGGGCATCATTTCTCTCCTACCAAATTAATGAACTGTTGTTGAAAAGGAAAGATCAAACAGAACAAAGAAATAGCCCAACTGTGCTTACCAAACCACGGCCCTGCCACCAATACCACTGCTCAATTTACTTTGGACTTAAATTACCTAAAAGTTAGTTTCGTTGGTTAGACACACCGCCAGATCGTTCTTCTAATTTCACAGATACAGACTTTGTGTTTATATGCACAAATACATAAAAAATTAGAGTTATGCAGCTAAGCAAGCAGGGCTGTCCTCTCTGTGTTATCAAAAGATGAGCTTCTTATTAGAAGCCAGGTATAAATACAATAGCCAACTTTTTCTTTCATGATGAACATTGGGCCACATTCTTCACTCTGCACAGAATCTCATTACATATTACTTGCATCTCAGAAAACACAACACAATGCAAGTTACATTAATCAAATTGTTCGAAATTTTAATTAAGATCATGTTTGTTTTGCAACAGTTTCTCAAAGGCTACGATGAAACACAAGAATAATTTTGAACGAGACTAAATAAAAGCGCAAATCCTAGGAAATAATTCTGCATTTGGAGAAGACTGAATAGAAAAGCCTGATTTTAACTAAGATCTATAGAATTACCAAGAGCATTAGGGAACGTCCTTGCAAAACTTCCTCCCTTCAGTTAAGGCTTTGAAAAGAAAGTTTTTCAGAAGTGTGGAGCACCTCTAATCTCAAGGCAATAACTGAGAATTAGAAGTCCTTAGCATCCTTGAACATAAAGCTAGACAATTATTTTCTAAACAAATCTAACTTTACAGTAAAGAGCTGATAATCTTATTAAAAATGAGATTGATTCTTACCACAGGGTGCTGGCAGTGGTAATTGCCAGTCTCTCAGTTGTTCCTAATTTATTGGATGAAACAAATAATGCAACATTTCATGGTTGGTATTGTTTTATTGTCTAATGTTGATTAAATTATTTACATTCCTACTTTTCAATCCACAGTTTAGCACTCATACCTATGGCTTTTACTTTTATGTTTAGCACATCTTTGTGTCAAGTGTCAGAATTTCGTTTCAAAATAACAGGAACCTGATACCATATAGACAAGTCTCCTCTGTATTTATATTTAAACATACTCATTTTCAAAAATGACAATTTATAAAAGAAGAGTCTGCTGGTAGCTTTCTTCCAGCTTGTGTTTACCACAGATTCTACTGCGCTTTTCCTATTTTAAAGTGTCCCTTTTAGAGCGTCCTGCTGCCTCCATGTGGAATCTGTTTCCTCCCTCAGCCCCCTGCCTCTAAATTTAATGCAAAAAAAATCAGTAGCTGACAATTTTAAGCAAAAATATAAAGCGCTATAACATTACCTACACTGCCTTTTACTGAACTAGGTTCTTGAATACTCTAGGAACTTTGTGGAAATTTAACCAGTCAGTATTGAAAAGGCACAGGATTTTTGTGCTCAGAGACCTCCAGCAACAATGTTTTTTCCCCAACCTGAAAGATAGGGACTGCTGTTAGGAAACAGCAAACAGTCTGCGCAGAAAATTCACAGGTACCCGACTGGCCACTTACATTATAACCCACCAGATTTTACTGATTCTTCTGCCACAGACACCCTGCAAATCTGTAACAAGAGTTTGCTTCTATTGCAAGAGGAAAAGAGATGAAGTTACTCTTACATATACCCAGGGATGGTGTAACAATGATACAAGCTATTCATTATTAAAATCCTCACAAAGCTGTCCGTGTCTGTGGTAGTTTCTGTTTCATGGTATTACATGAATGGGAAAGTTATTTTTTTCATATGAGAGAATTTTAGTTGTACATGAAGAAAGCTAATTTTGGTCCACTTGTCCAGCTTCCTAAGGACAGCATATTGGAAAGGTGACCACTGATGGTTCAAAAACCAATGTAACAGTTAACAAAAATAATTTGGTATTTCATTCCTAAACCTGCACAGTGTCGTTACTTGTTCTAATCATCCACCTTTTCATTCTGCGTGTCCACTAATTGTTGAGTTTTTAAGTCTTCAGCTTGTTCATGATCTTCCTTATCTGCATCATCTACTTGATTAGGTTCCTTTTCTTCTGCTTCTCCTTGATCAACACTTTCATATTCTACTTGTTCCAGGTCTGTTCCATCTATAAGTTCTGCCTGTACTTCTTCCATCTGTATTTGATTTACATGCTCAACATGTAACTGCTCCACATGAACTTCAGCACCTTGTTCAGTCTGAATGTGTTCAACTTCCAAGTAACTAATTTGCACCTGTTCTTGCAGTTCATCTATCTGTGTGCCTTTCACTTGACTGTCCTGTATGAGATCCTGGTGCATCTGTTCCACAGTTACCTGTGCAGGATCCACTTGTACCTGAATTACTGGTAGGACATGGACTTGCTCCACTTGTTCTATTATAGTCATTGATGTTACCGGTTCAGCTTCCACAGCTTCCACTGGAAGAACCTCTTCTGTCACTATTCGTTCTGAAATATTGTGCATTTCTTTGAGATGCCTTCTCAGCTCACTGCCTTGCATAAACCACAGATCACATAAGGTACAGTGGTTGGGCTTGTCACCGGTGTGTATTACCAAGTGATCTTTGAATTGATCCCAGCTGTTAAACACACTGTTACAAACCTGAAACAAAAGACACAGTCCGTTAAACAGTGCTAATAGAAATATGACAAAATACAGTGCGTATTTCAGATCATGGCTTCACATAGTGTAGCTTCTTGCTACTCGGATTAAAAAAACATGTAAGTTAGAGGTAAAAGCTGAGAAGTCAGCTACAGATGAACAGGAGACCTGGTATTTATTTATTTCTTTTTAAGAAACAGTGTGCTACTTTGAGTTGTGCATACACAGGATACCTACAAAATTTATGAGTCAGTACAGCATTTGAAAGTTTTCTTTTTTTTTTCTTATTTTCTTAATCTTATGTGAAATTCATGTACAGTATCATGCCCTAATAAATGTCTGGTGCTAGAGTTTTGGGTGGAAAGCTATTTGTGTAATAACACTGTACCATGGAAATATAATACAAACTGTCCTTTTACTGAAGTTCTTGATGCAGTACTACTAGCCAACTTTTCCTTATCAGCTTTCATTTCCTCATGATGTCATGAGGTTTACCTGGCTAGACTGAACTCTCCCATTTTGCCATTTCAAAAAAACACTTGAGTGATTTCAGCAGGTAGAACTCTCTTAAAAGTCCATCCCTTTAATTCTCTTCCAGCTAAAAGTACTGCCTCAACTGCAGACACACTATTTTCACAAAGCACATGAGCACACTTCTTTCCCTTCAGCTGGCGCTGAGGTAAGTAGCCTGAAAACAACAAACAGAGACTGCAGAAATGAATAAGATGCCAGGGTAGAAGAGAGAGAAGAGTAGGGTAGAGTCAGGCTCGGAGTAAAGAAACAGGGTCAGGAAGGAGTCTTTGTCCATGCAAGTATTCTTGGCTGCAGAAAGCAGCAAAGAACACACATTTCAACACCCCTTCACTGCTGGCAAATAGTTTTGAAACAGAATGTTCCATCTCCTCATAATTTTCAGCACAGAAGGATGATGGAGTATCTAACAGGGATTAACTCAAGAACAGGTCTGTGTAGTGGAACTAAATATCTCCATTTTGCTGTCGAAGTCTGTTAAAACAGGTTTGTGATGCCAGTGCCATGCTTTTTTCACCCCAGGCTCACGCTTTAGAAAGAAGTTGAACATACACTTCTTAAAATACTAACTTTATAGATAAGCACTCAAAATTACTTAGTCATACATAAAGATAATGACTATCAGTAATGCTCAACATAATTATTGTTCTTGCCACATGGAGCCTAATTCAATACTCAAGGCATACACTGAAGAGCACCAAAAGTGCTCATCAAGGAAGCACGATTTTGTTTTCTCCTCTTTGTTCAGTGACCCAAGATTTATTTATTGAACACTATTCAAATTTAGTTCTAAAGAGAGAAAAATTCAAGAAAAATTTATCCAAGAACTGCTGTAGTTTCCACAGGCTGAAGAAACATTAATCCACATTCACAACATCTGTTTGTTGGCCAAGGCCAACTGTATGAGGTTCAACAACGCCAGGTGCCGGGTCCTGCACTTTGGCCACAACAACCCCAAGCAACGCTACAGGCTTGGGGAAGAGTGGCTGGAAAGCTGCCCAGAGGAAAAGGACCTGGGGGTGCTGGTTGACAGCCGGCTGAACATGAGCCGGCAGTGTGCCCAGGTGGCCAAGAAGGCCAAAGCCATCCTGGCCTGTATCAGAAATAGCGTGGCCAGGAGGAGTAGGGAGGTGATCGTGCCGCTGTGAGGTGAGGCCGCACCTCGAATACTGTGTTCAGTTTTGGGCCCCTCACTCCAAGAAGGACACTGAGGTGCTGGAGCGTGTCCAGAGAAGGGCAACGAAGCTGGTGAAGGGCCTAGAGAACAAGTCTTATGAGGAGCGGCTGAGGGAACTGGGGCTGTTTAGCCTGGAGAAGAGGAGGCTGAGGGGAGACTTCATCGCACTCTACAACTACTTGAAAGGAGGTTGTAGCGAGGTGGGGGTTGGTCTCTTCTCCCAAGTAACAAGTGATAGGACGAGAGGAAATGGCCTCAAGTTGCACCAAGGGAAGTTTAGACTGGACATTAGGAAAAAATTCTTTACTGAAAGAGTGGTCAGGCCTTGGAACAGGCTGCCCAGGGAAGTGGTGGAGTCACCATCCCTGGAGGTATTTCGAAGACGTGTAGATGAGGCGCTTAGGGACATGGTTTAGTGGGCATGGTGGTGTGGGTTGACGGTTGGACTCGATGATCTTAGAGGTCTTTTCCAACCTTAATGATTCTATGATTCTATTCTATGATTAGCAATCAAAACTAATTCATCTCCTGCAGTATTCAATGCTTTCTGTGAATAAGATCACTCTCTCTTTTGGAACAAATAAAGCCCATATCCAGCAGTTTTCTTCACTACACAACCCAATTTAACCTCAAACCACAGCCACTCTGTGAACTGAAAAAGGTGAAAGCCTTAAGGGAAAAGACAGCGGAAGAGAAAAAGAGAGAGGGGGAGAGAAAGGGAGAGAGCAGGAGAGAGCGAAAGAGAGAGAACGAAAGGGTGAGAGAGCGTAAACGAGAGAGCAAACGAGCACGAGAATGCGAGAAAGCCAGAGCGTGAGAAAGCAAGAAAGAGCGCGCACGAGCAAGAGAGAAAGAGAGAGAAGCGTGTTCTTATTTGAGACTGTCACAGCAGTGGGGCAGCAAAATGGCAAAAAATGCTGCAACCAACCTCAGCTCTTGTATTTTCTAGCTTTTCAGAACCAGCTTTTAAAAGCTACGTAAGATTTATCTGAACAGCTTTTCAAATATCAGTTACATATAGTGACCAAGTGTGACAGGTGCACCCGCCCTGACAAGAGATCAGGGGCATCAGGACCACAGCACCCTTACTTTTTGCGCCCTTACTTTCGCGCCTTTGAGGTGGCAAGTGCTGACTGTCACGTACACACTTTGGGTCATGTATACGCCTCGGGCGAGGAGTGAGAAAGTTACAGCCCTCAGCTAATTAGAATTGACCACAGGTCAGATTCGACTAGGATATAAATGGAGCCCCGCCAGAGGGCAAGTTGAGTCGGTCCTCCTCGGAGCAGCGGGTCTGCAGTTGGGGACTCTTCCCTTGGGTCGGGACGCCACCCAAGGAAACTCCTTGAGGTTGAGAGCCCTCATCTTATAGGTGAGTGATTGTGCACATTTTGGATCCTCATTTCTAAAGCTGGCTGTGCAGTATTAGTTCCTTGTACACCATCCTGAACCTGTGGTTTACTGGTGGTGTTGGAGTGTTGAACGATTTTGATGAGCTTCACTTCTAGTTAGTTTTCTCTTAAACAATTTTGGTTTAAATAAAGTTTCTTTTTTTTAATCATCTGCCTAATTTTATTTTGTGAGCCTCCGCCATACCAAGTACCCTAGCTATCCATCTACAGCATTTATATTTGCTTAAAAGACATTACAGATTGTCATCATAAGTGTATGACTTTTCAGGCAAAGTCAATATATCGGATACAAACAGAAGAATAATAAAATAGGAAATAAAATAGTACTTTGTATTTTGGACTTTAGTGAAGCATGCTCACAAGCGGGAAAGGCCTAGGTCAGTGCATCAAGAACCTTGAAAAGGAAGCAGAAAGATCAGTAACATGCAGCTGAACACTTATCTACCCATAAGAATCCCTCTGGTTATAAGTACTATGAGGCTCCGTATCAGTAATTCCGTATTTTAAATGGAACTACTTAGATAGTAGAATTTATCTGCATTTTGTGGTTAAATGCGATCCTTATATTTATTTTACTAAAAGTAGACCTTGGAGACATAAGCCCACTCTCAGTACTGCTCAGTACTCCCACACTCCCTCAGCACAGGAAGGAGGTATCTGGCCTCAGACTCCACTACTTCCATTACCCACCTGGCATTCGTACAGCTTCTTTCTTCCCTTTTTAGCTCCAGCTCCAGACTGACAGGCCGTCAGATGACATTTGAGCGTGCTATTCCTAGCAAAACGTTCATGGCAGTTTGGACATTCAAATGGTTTTTCACCTGTTAAGACAGATACAGGGATTTGTATGTGTATAAAACCAGCCAGTTTTCTGTGAGCTCTCTCTTCTTCCCCTCTCTCCCTTTTGTGTAGGTTGATAAATACGCTCTAAAGACATGGCCAACTGGATTATTCTACAGAAGAAGAGAAAGACATTCTATGTAAACTTTATTTATGTAAATAAAAGGGCAAAAACCTAATGTGGAGTCATAACTCTGATTTAGAAAAAACAATCTAACAATTACCAGTGCCATTTAAGGTACTTTTAGGTTTTTATGGAAATTAGATTACTATTCTGATGAAATATCTTAAAGAAATAGCAGTTATTTCTCTCTTTTTGTCTGATAATATTTATAATTAAAGAATCAACATTAGTAAATATACAAAGTAACACATTAAAGAACGAATTTAAATAACACAAAGTTTTATTTTCAAGAACAATAACAGCTTATACTTGAGAGCTGAAACTGAGTTCCAGAAAAAGAAGTTGGCATGGAACGACCATGAAATAACAACGCATCAGTATTAAAACAAACAAACAAACACCACTCCTCCTTCCCCCGCAAAATACAGTGAAGAGAAAGGACAGAGGGACATAAATGGGCACAAGCAAGATAAAAATTCCTTTCACTTTGGCCAAACACAGAAGCCAGCTAAGGACAACAGCAGGAGAGGCTGAAAACAGGTCATTTTCTCTTTTTCATCCAAAGTAGTATACTGTTGTTACTGTCATCAAGTAGTAATAAAGAACAACTGGTGTCTCTGTTTACTAATTTCATCACGCACAAACACAATGAAATTCAAGGAAATTAAAGTACAAAAAAACTTAGGACCAGTGTGTTTCTTCTGAAAGTCTGATAATTAATCTGCGGAGGTACAGACACCAACATCACTACTGAAACAAGCAGCTTAATGAATTCCAAAAAAGGCTGAGACATTTTAGTGAATAACATAAGAATCTATCCTAGCTAGTTTAAAAGCCTGCATTTTCAGAAATGCAGTAGTTATTGACTATTGAAATGGAAAGCCTATAAACCTGTATTTTCAGAAATAAAGATATTCAGAAGTTCCTGATTAGCTTTTCAAAAGAAATCCACAAGTAGCCTATAATTCTCACTTACACACTTAAACGCTACAGAAAAATCGTAAATGGTGGGAACATTCCCCTTAATCGTTTCAAAATGCTATGTTTTTGGAGACTGTTGTACAGGTAATGCAGAGGATGCTGAACTGCCATTAGTCTTGCAGGTCAAAAATATGGACTTTGCCCAAGCAACGAATGGATACCACAGACCTTCACCTGCCCTGTGATGTGGTCACGTTTAAATAGTTACTTGGAGCAAGGCACCAGTCAGGGACAGATTTATTCTATTCTTACTCAAATTCTTCAGTAATCTGCAATATATTCAGCCGAAAGTGTCTGGAAGTGACAATTCAAAGATAATGGTGGCAATATCCAAAGGCCAAAAGACACTGTGTGACTTACTGCACAGTGCACATCAACAGTGCAAGTCACCTGGGCTGCACCAGTCACAGCAGTGATGGAAAACAGAGAGCATGCCAGCTGGCTTCCTTCCTCTTCCTTCTGAGAAACACACTGTTTAGCTGGGGGCTAAACTCCTCTGCTAAAGGTGACAACTTGCTTCTCCCCCTCCACGTGCCGTCCAACTATGAGTTTAGCCTCATCTAAGTGAGATTTTTACGAAGAGGGAGGTTTTTGGCCTGATATAATGATTATCTTTTTCTCCCTTTACGAGAACGGATGAGATTTCACTTGCCAATCGTAAGTAACTCACAGGACACAAATTCTGACTGGAGATAGTCCAATATTGTGCTGGTCCTTTATAATGCGACAGTCGCAGGAAGGAGACTGCCCCAAATAAGTATTTTTTAACCCAAAGGAATTCATAACTAACACAGTGACTTTTATTTGCCTACTATGTAAGAAATACCAAGGAATTCAATCATAACCATAAAACTACCATATCGTTATTTAGGGTGGGCTTGGAGAGAAATAGTAAACCTAGTTATTATTTTTTTTTCCACAAACACACCAAACTCGGACATTTATCAGATTAACTTCTTGGGATCATTTATTCAAGGTATGTAAATAGAGTCCATTTATTCACTCCTATGGAAGATGTTATTTGCAGTTCAAAGTACACTTCCTGTAAAACATATTTTGGATTAACCAAGAATGGCAAAGACCTTGATTAATTTTTCCTAAGAGCTTTGTATACAAATTACTTCAGTTACAGAGTTTTCAGATAAGAGCAGATTAATTTAGCTGCTTGGAACACATCATGACTCCTTCGCTTCCACCTTCACTCATGTGAGCACACGCACACACACTCTCCATAAACAGAAAAAAAGGAAAAAAAAAAAATCAAGAAGGCCTAACTTTGAGAAATATTCAGCAGTCAAAATTTCCAGAAAAATCAAAGGAAATCAAATCTGTTCAGTGTCTCTTTCTGCTAGGGAATATAAGCTTTGCAAAATATCAGGATTAGACCAGCATATTGACAGGAGTAGCTTCATTCCAAGATCGATTTCTGTGTGAGGAAACTGCTCTTCTTGTGTAAGACAAATTAGAGCTATTGAACTCAACAGATATACATTACTTAAGTGCAACCATGCAGAATTTCTGTTCTGTGCATTACTTACGACTGGCAAGTGAAATCTCATCCATTCTGATAAAGGGGAAAAAGATAATAATTAGATCAGACCAAAACCCCTCCCTCTTTATAAGTTCTGGAGATGACTTTGTTAATACTTTCAGAGTTATATGCCATGCAACACATTTTTGAGGTATTTTTTCAGAGGCTCAGAAGGTGCTTAAGGCATTGTACGCATGAGTGAGAAAGAAACTCCATGGATCTCCTTCCTTTCTTTTATTGAGTCTAAGATAATAGCCATTGGTATGTCAAATTTCTACATCAAAAAGAATCACCAACACTGATATAAGGTGTCTATTTCTGCCCCAATTGCTATTTTCATGTTATTGCTGGTGTTGTGATTAAGCAGCAATAGGATCAAATACTTTGTAGGATGTTTTCTCCCAGGCCTTTTAATTTCATTTTAGCATTCAACCAGTGCTATATGGAATTCGGAACTTGGAAAGCCTTTGGCTGAATGGGAGTTTTTCCACTGACCTTAGGAGACAACAGTTAAATGGTAGCATCTGTTTTGATTTTAAGCTTAAGGCTTTTGAAAATGCTAAACCGGAAGTAATTAGATTCCATGCGTTATACTTGTATCAAAATATATTTAGAAAGTACTCTGTACCTCCTGTGATATGCTAAGTTGCTTTGTCCCAAAAATCCTTTGTCACAACAGCAACCACATACTGTGATATTTGGGTTACTCTGTTAGTCTGCCACAAACTTTTCTCTGAAAAGACTTTTGTTAAGTAGCTTGTATTTGGATTACTCATAATGGTGAAACACTTCCCGCTTCACAGGGAATAAGGATTTGCCAAAGACTGTTTATAAATGGAACTTTTAAGGGGCTATTGGGAATTGACTGGACACAGTGTCATATATCAATACTCAGCAGTCCCATACACAGATATAAAGAAATCCGAATTAAAAAGCTTTAACAACAATAAGAAGCTGCAAAAGAAATAGGGCTGCCACCCTCCATTTAATTCTTACTGATGGCTCATGACTGACATATTAAACAAAAACATCTGGAAGATAGGACCACATATATTTTACATTCAGAGTTATCTGTATAACGCTCAGTACCTGTTCAGATAGTAGACTTTTCAGTGAGAGGAAGAAGCAGCATCTTAATCTCCAGTATTATAAAGAGGAAAGAAGGAGCACAAGTAATTTTGTACTCAAAGATGCTATCCAGATTTCAGAGAGGCAGATTTCACAGTAAAAAAAGTGTACCATAGTCACTAGAAATGTTTTGCTGTGTTAATTAACAAAGAAAAATCAAATCATAGATGAGGTATCAAGAGTAGGGGTGAAATTTCCCAAACAAGATGGTACAAGAGAGAATTCTTAGGCGGTGTTTTATGCCTAATGCATTAATAGGCATTTGCTCAGAAGTTCTGAGCTCAGAAGGCTCACAGTTCAGATCGTATTTCAACAGACACATTTACTAGTAGAATTGTGAAAATAGAAATAGCTCCTCAGTTTGGTACTTTTGATGAAGGAAACATGCCTTAAGAAATTATTTAGAAAAAGTCTTTAAGATTTAATAGACTTGAGAGAGAAGCTTCATTAGTGCTTTCTGGTTTTAGGTGCCTACTTGTAACCACCTCAATCTCTCAAAACTTTACATCAATGGAAAACAAACGAACAAACAAAAAGACAAACCAGCATTTTAGTGGTAACTAGAAGCCAAGTATTTCTAGCACTCAGGACTCCTGTGTCCTCTTCAGCATATTCTCTATTTCCCCAAAACATGCAAAAACTCAAAATGCTACAAGCCAAGGTCACAAGTACAGGAATATAGCAGTACTCTTACCTGTGTGCTTCCGGAGGTGCTCTTTAAAATGGCCAAAGTGGTCAAACTGCTTATCACAGTACTGGCATATATGTATTTTTTTGCCAGGTCTTTGCTTCTTGCTGGCACCACCTTCATCAAGGTGGTAACAGGTGAGGTGCTGTTTCAAAGCACTCTCTCGTAGGTACCTTTTATTGCATATGTCACACTTGTAACTCTCAGTAGAGTGTGTTTTCATGTGTTCCTTAAAATGGTAAAACAATTTAAATGAACGGTTACATTTCTCACAGTGGAATAAATTGTTCACGTGTGACAGCTGAAGTTCCACAATTTCAATACCTTCTACCTGTTTGCACGAGGGATCAGTTGCACTATCACCTTCTTCTTGGATCTGGCATTTTCTCTCTCCCTGACGATACTTGCTGGTGATATCTGCCAAAAGAGCCAAAGCAGATTCATCTGATGTACCTGTTGTCTGTATGTACTTTATGGATTGCTCTGCAGAAGCTACTTCTTCAAGTGTTTCGATGCTGTCATCTTCCACTTCAATCGTCCCTTCAGCAATCTCAACCTCAATTTCAACAGGCTCCGATTCTGCAGATGGCAGTGTTTCTGTGATAACGTTAGAGGTTTCAGCTATCTTCCTCTTTTTTGGTTTATTTTTACCTTGTGGTTGATTTGATTCTAAGGGTGATGAATTTTCTTTGTTCCTGTAAAGCATTTGCATAAACATGGTTATGATCCATAAGCACTAACATAACAATTCCTGCCTAATACTGAGCTTCTGCATCCAACACTCTCTAGCTGTTTCTCAAAGAAGGTGAATGATGAATGACCACATAATCTGTGTGCATGTCAGAAACTAATTTGTCCTTAATCTATACCACTTAGAGCTGTAAAATAGCATGGTTAAAGCTGCAGAGCCTTTGCCATAAGGCTACTAAAGTGTTTTAAATAGCTCTGCTTGAATGATACAAAGCACCTATCAAGAAGAAAGGCCAGTTAACCTAATGACATAGGTTTATCAAAGAATTTGTGAAATTCTGTACTTGGAAAGACAACTTCCCCGAAGGAAGGAGTTCTTTGGCCTGCCTACTCAGAAATAACATTCAAGTCCTTCCTACACTATTCACCTCTTAAGGTCTGGAGTATGTACAATTGCCTGCAGCGCTTACAGCTTGTTAGAAAACACTACAGCGGTGACTTCACACAATGATTATAACATCTCGTACTTCAGGAAAGCACACAGCTAACAGCTGAGGTAAAAATAAAAGCCACTGGGATGTGGAAACAGTATTCTAGTTTAATTTTCTGGGCTTAAACATAACCCCCAGCTCTGTTTCTGTTCTCCCTGCATCATACACATACAACCCCCTTCTTCCAAGATGTCAGGGATAGCATGCCTTCTCAAACACAGAGCGGAGTGGACCAATGCTTTCAAGTCACACCCTCAAGATCATCCACAGCACTTATGTGCTGGAGGTTTTACTACTGATTATCAGTTTCGAAAATGAGAGGCTATATTCCCCTCAAGTCAGACTGACAGGAGTAAGCTGTGCTTTTACCTTCCTTTGCAGCCTGATGAATCCTTTCACGTAATCCACTCCCTATCACTTTCACGTTTTCTAGTAATAGGAGAGATAAGGCTTCGCCCAGTATCTGTAAGTCATATGTCAGAGACGTGCGACTAATGATCTAATGCAGGATACAGCTTATTAAATTGCACCTTACTCTACTCAGACACAGGAAGACAGAGCAGTTAAACTTAGAGTTTCATCTAGCCTGGATTTCTGATATCTAAAAGGTGACAGTTACTTTGCACATTACTGCAAGGAGCTCCAGGATCATGTACCAAAAGAATAATCTGCTCAAAGAGGAGACTACCGTCCTTGACCACATTGTGTGAAACTTTGAATGGGGATACATGCATAAAACACAACTGCATTTTAAGGAATAACAGCTGGTTGTTTTCTTTCTAGTCTAGATTATGCGATCTGCAACTCTTCGACGCATTATACAAATAAATAGTTCTATAATCATCTCTACTTCAGCTAAAGTTTCTGAAGCTTACCCCTTTCAGTCAAAGCTCTGACTGAGGCACTGTATTGCAATTCTTCCCCCTCTTACTGTGGAGGAGAAAACAGAGACTGACAGTGGTACTCAAGTTTGTCTTTCTAACCAAAAAAACCCAAAACAAACCAAACAAAGCCCCACAAAAAACTTTTCAAAATCTATAAACAATGGAAATAACTCTAAGAATAGACTGGCTTGCATGTGTGTTCATTAAGCAAAACATTTGTTTCCTTGTAACATAATAATTACAGTGTTTACCAGTGATGCATAACCAACAAACTGCATAACATTATACAATAGTGGGAAATAATTGCAGGCTGGACAGTTTAGCTTAATGGATGTATCTGAATCCTGGTTCAACAGTTCTACTGGTGTACACTGACTCAAAGTGATACTGATTAGAACATACTTTTTCAGTTTCAAGTTTCTTTTAAATTCCTCAAGCAGACAGCTAAAGTCTGCTTTTCTTCCTGAGTAAAAAAAAAAAAAAAGCTCTTTTGGTGGTACCATGCTTAATCTTAATCATGTCAAAAAAAGGGTGTTTGTGGGGTTGGAGGGTAGGACTAGAAATGCGTAATCCCGTATCTTTCCTATTAAAAAAAACAGTTACACGCTTATTCAGCTCTACTGCCAATCCAAGAATAAGCACAGAATAAGTTAATTTGGAAATAAATGCTGATGTTGAAAACCAAGTGTATCATGTCATGGAGGTTTTTTTTTTTAAAACAAAATGTTAGCTGGCTACTAGAGGAACTTGGGGCCAATGCCACTCTCCGTGGCTAATGTGTCTGTGGGGAAATAAAAAGGAAGCAAAAATCTTTCCTTAGCCTGAATGCGAAGACCTTTCAGCAGGTCTAGAAGAGAAAGTAAAAATAACCATAATTGCTGGGAGCATTTATTGCCCCTCCCTCTGCTTCATGCCAGCAGAACAGTGTAGCATGCAGAAGGAATGAGAATGTGTGAGCATTTTGTGAAAGTGAAAGGGAAGGAAGGGGAAGAAAACCAGCATGATGGGACTGGCACCTGCTTTTCTCAGGTTGGAGTTTGGTGATGGAGTACAGTTCCTGGTACCGGATAAAAGGTGCCACGGCCATATTTGATTAAGTATTGATCCCATATAAAACTGATTATAACAGTTACATTCATTCAAGAAGTTTGAGAGCTTAATTTTGCAGCAAGAAGTTCTAAGATCACTGCTTATTCTCTCAGAAATAGCTGAAAGCTGCATGAAATCAAAACACCAGCACGAGCTTGTTAATGTGGTCTAATTACCTGAGGCACATTGTCACTGTATACCCAGCTGTCAAGCAGGTGTCGGCAGTCAGATAGCACAGAGACCTGGTATTAGTTTTCACAAAGTCACAGGCCTACAATGTCTGCAACATTTACCAGCCATGTCATTTGTCATCGAGTTTCAGCCCAAAGAATGTGACATTCATTTTTTAGCCTGAATAATTCTGACCCATATCTTATTGTAGAAGAGTATATGGTCCCGCACAAGTTTAGGAGGTTCCAGCGTAAGGAACAGCACTGCAAAATACTGGCAGCCAGCTCTTGTAAAAGGATTCTTCTGACTCTACACTTCAGCGTTGGGAAGAAAAAGAGGCTTATGTGCTTACCTGATTTCAAGTGCTTTGATTGCTTCTAACATCTGTAGATACTCAGCTGCTTTCCAAACATCATTTGCTTCTTCCTCACCTTGGACCATTAGTTTTGCTGTATAAGTGAACTCAATTAGGTGACGAAATGCCATGTTACTTACACCTGTATACAGGCAAGAAAAACAAGTTTCTTTTAGCAATTCCTCAGTCTCATCTATCTGATGAATCTTGCACACTTGCCTGCTCACCATTTTGCTCACAATACTGTAGCTGCTAGTTTCATAAAGATGACCCTTAAAAGGTTCATGTCGGAATAAAAAGTCTACTATAGAAACATGTGAATCTGGAGCAACTACAGAGTTATGCCACAACAAAGATGAAAGGAAGGATAAGATGGACAAATAGCTGTTTGAATAATAACAAGTATAGATTTAAACACAAAAATACAATCTTTCAAGAGACCTCTGAGCAACAAGTTACCCAAGGCTGAAATATTGCTCCAGGAATTTGCTCCCTGCCTACCAGGCAAGTATTGCTCCATGTCTATCCTGTTCTTGCATCCCAATCAAGGCATCTGCCATTGGCCATCACTGGCAGTCTTTTTCACGTGACCAGAATAGCTGTTGTCAGGGAGAAGATTCTATGTCACACCGCTAGTCCTAAAAAGATACAGGGCCTGCCTGACCTCCATGTGAAAACACAAAAAGGAAAAAACTACCCCCAAGCCTCACGCTTTCCCTTCCAAAAGGTTTAATTCAAGACTGTTTTTTTTTTTTTAACTTTTCTTCAGGGGAAGTTTTTTTCCAGTGTGGTAGCTGCCTCAGAACAACTCAAGAGCTGAGATCTAGAAAGCTAATTGATATGACCAAGCATGTATGTAAACCCATACCAAGGATACTACATTCATTTCCATCTTGGGCATACAGCTCTGAAGGTTTTTATTTGCACAAATCAGATTACCTTCAATCTCCACTAAGGGCTCCTGAGTGAAATCCTGGAAGAATTTGTAGAAGAACTGGCTACAGGCAGCAAGAACAGCCTTATGAGCTTTGAAATGGTGGCCTAGAAAGAGAGACAGAAATTTTGGATTAGGGTAACACCTTCCTCACTCTTAGTGCAGAATAAGTGTAGATGCAGAAAAGAGACCCCCTAGTCTACAAATCTATTCGAGCAGCATATAGTCACTTAGTATGTCTCCTTGTAACATGGGATACTACTGCAGCTAGCCTGTCCCATCACATGCAGACCCTTGCTGACATCACTGACCTTGCTGAAGCTCTGCAACTCAATCAGCTGGAGGACTCACTCACTCCAGTGTTTCTCTCTTCAGATATCTAAGTTACAGGAAATTCCTATGCAATCTTTTTCCTGTATGTCTTGGGTTCAGCTCTCAGGTTTTATCCAGGTTCTCCTTGTTTTTTGTTGCTGTTACAGATTGATGTATTTTATCACCACTTCTGCCAGCATAAACATCGCTGCAGAACAGAAGCGGTTCTGCTCTGTTCTTCCTGTTTTCCAGGCTGTGTAATCCCCATCGCTGTGCTGCCTTCTCTCTGGCGCAGGCATTAACATTCATAAGGTTCCATGGGACACAGATAAGAGAAGGATCATGGATTAGAACTACACAGCTGCACACAAAACAGCTTTGAGCTCAACACATGGATTTAGTAATACCAGAGCAGGAACAAACATTCAGGATAAGTCTTCTGCAAGCGCTGTCAGTGAAACTTCGGCAATTCCTGAAGAGCAATTTTTTCTTCATTTGCTTACTTTTTTCTAATCTGGGCTCTGTAGGACCCTTTTCCTTCAAGTGAGTTCTTGCTATCCTTTTTAAAGATCAGGTGGTACTCCTTTAGCTAGGTCTGTCCTAGTGGACACTGCCTATCTTCCTTGAAGTCCTCACCTGTTCTAAGACACATTTGGGATAAGAAGCAATCTTAGGTGATCTATCAGACACCACCTTTTCTAAGGAGATAATAAGCACTTATATCTCCATCATCCTTTTGATATAATACTTATGTCCTTAGACCACATGTAAAAAGAAAAGTGAGTGCTTCTACCCTATTTTAACCATATATTAAAATAGTAGGCAGATACCAGAAAAGCAAGAAGTAAATCTTATTTCAAGGTGTTTTTTTTTTTAAACACACAATATTTGTACAAGTTCTCCGCATGCAAATAGTCAGCTCAAGTTAGGGAAAAGTATTTTAACAATGTTTTGGAAATCCTAAGACAACACATTAAATAAAGCACAGCAGTTTCAAAGTGGGCTTCTATCTGAAAATACTTAGCTCCTTGTTTGGAAAAACAGAAGCAAAATTATTAATCACTGCTGGAGACTGTTCACTCCAAGATTTTAAATGAAACTCTGCAAGCAACTTGCACACCGCTACAGAACCAAGAATTTGTAGCAGCCCAGTTTGACAGCTGACCTGTGACAAACCCAACACAGGTTTCAGAATTCTCTGTACATCAACTGGTTCTCAGGCCTGTACCTACCATCGACAATCAGAGTGATATCCGTAAACTGGTCCTGCTCACGTTGTTCATTCAATCTATCCAAAATAACTTTATAGTGTTCAGGGAATTCCTGGATACACTCCATCGTTTCTTCTGCTTCCATGGCAAAAGGACTAGTCTGCAAGAGATGTGGTATGAGCGTAAGAATACTGCACCACTCAGTAAATACTATGCACAGCCAGGTTAGTATACAAACATAAACTAACTAGAACTTTTCAGGGACTACAAAACCAACAGAAACACTAAACTGTCTTGGTAACAGGTTTACCTGATTTTAGCTGACAGGTAGGAAATGGCAGGGTTAATGTCGTGGAATATTGCCTTATTTATATACATGAAAAAACAGTCAAAGTGGGTAAGGGTATTTCTTTATTCTACAGATTCAGCAGGGACCCACCTCCCTCAAAGCAAATACTGCAGGGATGTAACATCTCCACAGCTAATTATTCAACAACACCTCAGCAGCATAAAGTTGGAATCTTTATACAGTTACTTCTCGCAATTCCACCAATCCACTTGGTGGAAGAACAGTTCTTAAAATTTTCATATTTAAGTCACATTTTGCATCTAGTGAACACAAGGTGTTTACTTCCTTTAAATAAGGATGTATAAAGCAGCACTTTTCAGCTTCTGAGTACACTGGAGTTGCCAAGGACTTAATGTGCTGTCACACCCAAGAGCAAAGAGCGTCTTATTCACCCAGGCTACTTACACTTCTCCCCCTGCAAGGTGAAATATTCTTTGCCAACCTTTTGAAAGACACATATGCTTGTAGTCTGATGGCCCTTCCTCCCTTACTTAAACACTAAACATAGCTGGGGGTGGGAATTGCAGTTCTCAAACCTGAAGAGGTTTGGCAGAACTCTGTGCCTGTGGACGAGACGCAGATGTTAGTCTGCTGCTTATGCAAAAGAACCTCGGGAGAGAGTCCAAGCACTTCAATGAAAGCATTTCACGAATTAACTCCAGGCAAAATGACTTCAGATCTGTGCAGCAGCACTCATCTTCAACTCCCACATTCACATGGCTCACACTGAGAATGCCGCAGAAAAAGCAAAGACTTTCAAAGTCACATTAGCACAGAAACATTGTTTCTTTTCACAGTTTAACTCACTTTGAAGAACGTGTGGTTTCTGACTAGGCTTGACTGAGTTTTAAAGGAATTTGAGACGTACCCTTCACTATACTGTTATACTCAGTATGGACAAAAGGAAGAAAGTCAGAAGAGCAGCTAGTATGAAACCAAACATTGAATATAGAGATGGAAATTCCTGGTGTGGCAAAGAAGCAGTTTTCTTCAGAGTGCTAGAATAAGCTAGAGAGCAAGTGCTTCCTGACTTATGGTGAGATTTTTTGTGTGTGTGACTGGAATTGGAAAGTCCTGAGCCCAAAACTGTTCCTTATGCGAACTAACCACATCTGAGCTGATGCCATCACACTTGCTAACTCCCCTGTGTGTCTGTGTAAATTCTACCTCTCTTATAACAAACACACATAGGGGTATATGGGGTTTGATAGAAGTAGAGAGGAGAATTACCCGGTTATAATAAAAGCAAAGTTATCTTCTTATGACTAGCAACCATCAAGCAAAGGAAATAGTGGAATTCCTGTTTTCACCACAAAACACACTCTTTCCTGCATGTCAGAAAAAGTGGCCCATGGAGAAGTCATTTTGCCAAAAGCATGAAAAAAGAAGAGCAGAAGCAACTGCTTATGGAAGTCTAGCTCTACCTGCTATTGCTGCTTTGCCAAGCAGATACCTATCACGTCTTAAAGGGGACAGAGGAGACCACTCTGTGAGGGCAAGGGGGAAAGCGAGGTGGAATGGAGTGGACGCTGCTGCTGCATTCACTTCACCATCTGTAATGATGGGTTTAAGATAGATCACAAGCAGCTCCTGCCTTTCTTCTGTCATCTGGTATTCCACATAAAGTCTCACGTGGGAAGCTGTCAGCCATTTACTTCACTGTTTAATTCTTCTTGCCCATTTTTGACAACAAAAGGACAGATTTGTCCATAAAAGGACAGATGCTTGCAGTTAAAAGCATAATTCCTTAAAAGTTACAACAAACAAAATTTTGACTCCCAACTCTCATGATTTCCACCTACCAAAATGCAATTTACTTCCAAATTGAGTGTTTGTAGGGTTATCTTACAAAAAACCCCCTCAAAATAATAGAGCAACCTCCCCCATACCAAATCTAAGAAATTTTAAAAGGTTTCTGTCTTTCTCAGAACATATAAAAAACATGAGAAAACATACAACTTATGATAGCTAGTTTATTGTCATGAATTAATTAGTAAAAAGTGTGAATTTATTGC